TAAGGAGCCCTTGTGATACAATGGTTAAGTGCGGGGCTGTTAACTGAAAGGTTGGCAGTATGAATCCACCCAATGGCTCTGCAGGAGAAAGACCTGGCGTTCTGCCTCCATAAAGATCACAACCAAGAAAACCCTATGAGGCAGATCTACTCTGTCACATGGGGTCGCTACGAGTCGGAATCGACTCAATATGCTTTCTTGGTGGTATGAGGTTCCCATGTGTCTCTGCTCGCTTCTCTGTTTTATATCTCAAAAGAGATTGCATTAAGACACTGATCTTGTCAACCTCAGCAGTATAACTTCATCACAGTGATAGAATTTATAACACATGAGGAGATCACATACAATCTCATCATAGTGGTCGAGTTTACAACACATAAGGAAATCACATCAGAAAACACAATCATGCAATACTGGGAATCATGACCTAGCCAAGTTGCTACACACACTTTTTGGGGGACACAATTCAATCCATGACAGCACCCAACAACACAACAACATGGGTTTTAAGGTCCCTCGGTGGTACAAATGGTTTGCACTAAATGACTAGCTTAAAGGTTGGAGGTTCAAACCCTCCCAGTAGTGCCAGCAGAAGAAAGGCCTGGAGATCTGCTTTCATAAAGAAAATTTTACATTTGAAATAGATGCCAGAGTTTAGAAACAAATTTTAGCACTGTAATAATGTCATTCAATAGATATATATATATAAGCATCTTCATTCTGTTTGGGATAGAGGAAATACAAAAATTAAGAAGAAATATCATCTGTAGTCCGAGTACCAGGTTCAGATTCTGGGTTCACAACTAACCAGCTGTTGACCTGGAAAAAAAAAAAATCACTGAACTTCTCTGAGCTACTTTTCTCATCTCTGAAATGAGTAGGTTGGGTCTGTGAGGTTCCATCTTGTTCTTACAATGTATGGGTGTCTGTAAGACAAGATCAAGTCTCTCAAGGAACTCAACACCAAGGGAAGGAACAGGAATCAGAACTGGCTGCTAGGTATCGAGGTTTACCAAGAGTGATGGGAAATCCCCAGGAATTCTTGACTTCTTCCCACATCCGGCCCAGCAGCAATGCAGGAAATCTAGTCCACTATCTTCAGCAGACTCAATGGAACCATTTCCTTAATGAAACCTCCTGCAGCCCCGTATGCTAAGCCAGAGCTTTCCTTTCAAGCCCCCCTCAATTACCCCATTCCTCCCATTTCCTTTCTCTCCCTCCGTCTGATATAAAACCCAGTAATTTAATCAGCAGCATGCAATTTTTGCAAGCCACCCAAGTGCACGAAAATCAACAAGGATCCTGGAAAGCAGCCGGCAGATCTTGCCATGGCTTACAAGCCTCTCCAGCATACAAAGGTCAATGGAACAGAATGGATTGTTCTGTTCTATTAAATTGCTTAAACCAAATACAACAGATGTTTTTATGCTTCTAACTACTTGTGTTGTTGTTGTGTTCCTTCAAGTCAATTCTGACTCATAGCAATCTTACAGGACAGAGTAGAATTGCCCCATAGGTTTCCTAAACTGTAATCTTTATGGGAGCAGGTCGACAGGTCTTTTCTCCCTCGGAGCCAAGGTGGGTTCGAACCGCTGACTTTTCGGGTAGTAGCAAAGTGCTTAACCACTGCACCACCAGGGCTTTGGAAATCAATCATCTGTTCTAATTTCTGCATTTACATATGAAAATCAAAAATCCACTTCATGATCACTAGGAAAAGAAAAAAAAAACTACGTAGAATATCACAGACTTTCCAACTAGGAAAGAAAAAAATTGAACAAAGACTCGGCAACTCTCAATTTTAATAAAGTAAAAAGACTGAGGAAATAGAGTTCATCTGCAACATGATGAAATTTATTATTGGAAAGCTATGCAGGCTGCCAAAGGTGCTAAACAAATAACATTGCAAATATGCAACTTGTAAAAACAAAAAAAGTGTGGCTTCATAAACCTTTTCAAGAACAACAAAGATTGTTCTGCAAAACTGCCTTTACTATGAGAAGTTTATTATATTCCATTTGAAAATGGATATTATTTTCAGGTGCATTTTGATATACCTTAATATTGATGTGGGCTTCCCTCACAAAATTCACAATTTACAGATTTCCAATTAGTTCTAATAAATTGAGGAGCCCTGGTGGCTCAGTGCTTAAGAGCTTGGCTGCTAACCATCAGCCGCTCCTTGGAAACCCTAGGGGACAGTTCTACTCTGTCCTATAGAGTCGCTATGAGTCGGAATTGACTTGACGGTAACGGGTATAATAAACTGTAAATGTCAGCGGCTCAAGAACACAAGAAAAATAAGGACAGAAGAAAAAGGGTCTCTGGCTTTAATCAAGGGTGTGGTACCTTCAAAGTAAGAAAATGAGGCTTGGAGATGGAGCAGCAAGGGCTGGTAGCCTTTATAAAGGAAGACAGTGCACTAGAGGACTTGAAAGTATCTGAATCATTGGCATCTTTTTATTTCCCAGGATATTTGGAAGAAGATAAATACATTCTTTAAAGGGACAATTGATTATCCATTTGTATTATGAACCTGTGGTTATCTTACATCACAGTGCGCGCACACTCGCAAACACGCACGATATTTATAACTGAGAAATCATCTTAAGGACTTATTGAGCAGACAGGAGGCCCCCAATAGTTGCAAGCAGACTCCCCATTTGTCCAAAGGGCACAAACCCGGCCCCTTTCTGGATACCCTTTCCCAGAGGCGCAGTCCTCCGCTCAGTGTGAAAGCCCGAAAACAGCATAGAAAGTAGGTAGCTGACGGTTTTACTGTGTGAGACGTTTGCTAATCAGCCGAGAAACCTGCAGTCTGCAAAGGCAGGCTATGCAATTGCAAACTCTGTAAGCCGCCCGGAACAAAGGGCCATCACCTCAGCAATGTTTGTTCCGCTTTCTTCCTAACTATGCATATATGCATTTTTTAAAAATCACAAGGGAGTGCCAAGATTTCTTTTAAATCTTGCCTCCTTTTAATAAAATCAAATCTAAGCGAAATCACCAAGAGGATCCCACCCACGTTTTGGGAAAACTTCCACAGATCCATGTTGCTTCTAGCCACAAATAGAACTATAGTTCACTGAAGTCAACCCCCCTTTTTTTTTTGAGATCTGAACATCATATTTAAAACCTTATTAAGGTTGAATTAATAAACATCAAGTATCAGTACTGGCAAATTATAGTGAAAATATTTCAAGAATCTCTGTAACATTTCTAAAAACTGACCATATTGTAGCCACAAAGAAAATATTAATGCATTTCTCAATGCAAAAACTGTGCCACAATGAAATACAGAAATTAATAAGAAAAGTTTAAAAAACAATAAAGACAGTTAATCATCTAGACAACCACATTTTCTGAAAGAAAAATAAAGTTGTACGTGTGTGAAGCAGAAAATCCAATAAAACATGTATTTCCTGCATCCCATTTTTTGGATTCACGTTAATTTACCTTTACACACTGGGCGTAACTTTGGCAAGTTAACTAAATTCTTAAGCAATTGTATTTCAATGTAAGTGACTTCAAAACAAAAATGCATTTGTGAAATAGAAAATACAATATTTCATTCAGATATTTGAGCAACTTTCCCAACTTACAGCAAATTCTCAGACTTTACAACTTCGTCCCGCCTCCCGGTTTTATGGGATCACCAATTTCATTGGAACTGTTACTTGTGCCTTCAAAATTGACGGAACAAGTGAGTCTTCCCACTGAGAAACAGTATTTAACGGTTACAGCCTTGGAAACCCTATGAGTCAGTTCTACTCTGTCCTACAGGGTCGCTACGAGTCGAATCGACTCGACGGCAACTTTTTCTTTTTTCCTTCTACGTTTAACAAGTTCTTTTTATTTGTTTTTTTTAATATGCTTAACTCTACCAACTTTCCTTCCTGGGAAACGTTGCAATGACTGATTTTACTTTATGTTACTGTATTTTGCTTCATATTTAATCTTTCTCCACGTTGCTTAAAAAGAAGGGCGCTGCGAAATCTGGCTCTCTGCGCCCAGGGGGACTGGACCAGAGGACACGGTCAGTTTGTCCCGCTGGGCAGAGATGGCGAGTCCAGGTCTCTAACTCTTCTCGGGCTTTGACCCCTCGGTGGGGCCACCTCCACACTAACTGCTCGCATAGTCTCCTGGCCCCCGAGGCTGTGCCGCTGGTTATCACTGTCCCCCGGCCAAGGCCGACTCCGCAGCGGAGCGGACCGCACCGATTCCTCTTATCGCATCTTTAGTCCACAGCGTCCGCCCTTTCTTAGCTCGGAATTCCAAGGCTAGGCTTGCAATTCCTAAACCTAACGGTCTCTAGCTCCTCGGCCGCCCTCGTCAGCCAGGGCCGTTCACGTCTAGAACCTGGCTGCACCGTTTGCCCGCTGGCTCCGGGCAAAGGCGCCACCGGCCGGCTGCGCGCAGCGCGCTAATCACGGCCGAGGCAAGAGGAGGCGCTGCCCAAGGTTCCCAGTGTCCCGCGGCGGGGCGAGGGATCACAGCGCTTGCCCGCTCCCGGGATCCCTCTGGTCCCCGCCAGGACGCGCCCCCTCCAAGATGGCTCTGCCCTTCTCTCTCTCAAGGTGATGGCCGATGCCCAATGTCGACAACAGCGCGCTCATCCCAGCCCGGCAGCCTCGGGGCGTTCCGGGCGCCGCTCCCCGGGCTCCGGAGGGCGCCTCGGCCCCGCACAGGGCGTCCGGGCGCAGGCTGAGTGCCCGGCAGGAGCTCGTGCCCGAGAACCTGCCTGAGGGACCGGCGAGCCCTCCCAGCGGGACCCGGTGCTGCGCCCCCGGCCAGGCGGGTGACACTGCAACGGGCCACCGCCGCACTCCACTTCCAGCGCCCGCCGCGCCGCTAAGGAGCGGGCACCGCGTCCGCAGGCGGGACCGCACCAGTTAGTCTTCCAAGTTCCCGGCGGCTCGCCCTCCCGGCTGTTGCCTCACCTCCTCGCTGGCCCCGGCCCTGCCCTCCCCGCGCAGGACCCAACCCCCGGCGCGCCTCACCTGCGAGAAGCAGCCCGCGGAGCAGTGCGCACAGCAGGACCGCTGTGTCCCAGCAGCTGACCATGGTGAGCGCGATGCGGCCTGCTTGCCCGGCGCCCGCGCTTCCCGCGGGCCCACAACCCCGTCGCTTGAGCCTGGCCCCGCGCCGCAGCCCTGCGCCCCGAGCGCCGGTCGCCGCCGCTCCAGCTGGGGGGACAAATCCCCTCTGCGGGTAATCCTCGCAGCCGAGCCCAGAGCCGCCCCGCGTCGCCGCCCCGCGTCGCCGCCGCCTCTGCTGCTGCTGCTGCTGCTGCTGCCGCCGCCGCCGCCGCCGCCGCCGCCGGTAGGAGCGCAAGGAGTGGCCGCCGCGCGCTCCCCGAGTCTCCTGCGGACCTCAACTCGAAGGAGCAGGGCGGGGGCGGCTTATAACCTTTCCCCGGCCCACTTCCTCCCCGGCACCTCCTCCCGTGACGTCAAGGGGTCCCCCACCCCTCATCCGCCTCCCACCTACCCTCTTCTTCCTCCCGGCCAGCTTCCCGACGGCTGCGCGCAGGGGCGGGGGCGCCAGGGCGGGGTGGCCGGCCGAGCGCGGCGACGCGAGCGCGGCCCCGCAGGTTCAGGCCCTCCGGCCGCCGCCCCCCTCTCCCCTTCCCCCAGCCATCACCGGCAGGAAATCCTTGAGGGCTCCCTCCGCCCGGCTTACTCAGCTCGGGGGCCGGCTGGAGCGGGGAGGGCAGCAGCTGGCGTCCCACGCCCGGGTGCGGGCGGAAAGTCCGAGCAGCGCCCCTCCAAATCACTCCAAGGGAACTCTGCGCGACAGCGCTCTGGGCACAAGGAGGGAGCCACAGGCGCGCGCTCTCCTGCCCGGCTCTGCCTGATCCGCCCTGCTGCCCCCAGCCCCGCCAGACCGTCCCGAGGCGGCTAGGACTGAGTCGGGGACCCTCCGCATGGGAGACTTGACCCGGAGCGCCCGGAGGTGACCCGACGGGACGAGAGCTCCCTGGGGAGCGCGTCTGTAGTCTCTTTCTGCCGCAAAGATGCAGCCGCCCAAGTCATTTCCTCAACCCCATGCTTCCTAGAAGCAAAACAAGGAGTATAACATCCTAATACCTTTTAAAAAGCTGAGGCATGAAACCACTCCTGCAACTTGCAAGGGCTAAGCACTTTTTTACTCCCTAAATGCTCTGGCCAAAGAAATCTTGCTGGGTGGCAGCTTTCTATGCAAGAGGAGTGACGGCCGCTTTTCCAACAAAACCACTTGACATGAACTTGAGGCACTAGATCATTTGCGATGACACTAATTCCACGTTGTTCTTCAATTATGTCTCCACTACCTCAAAGGCTTAAATGGCTCTGGGCTCCACGGAACAGCCAAGTCTTGTCTCTGTAAACACTATGCTTTAAAAAATAATTCTTATGGAACCTGCCCCATGGTCCTAATAAAAAGGACCGTGGTGGCTCCTAAACGGGGCTGGCGACTCTTCCTGAAGGACTGGACTACACACCTCTGGGTCTGGAAGTTTGGGTAACCTGAAGTCGCCCCATCTCTAGGCAGCATAGGCAGAGCCGAGGCCCCAGCCACCCGCCTCCCCACGCAGGAAACGCACGGCTGCGCACCTGAATTCCAAGCGCCTGAGCCACCGGCTCTCGTGGTTCAGAAGAAGGGAAGACTGGGCAATCACTGCTCCCCTCTGGCGTGACCATCTCTTTCTAATTTTTTCAGTGCTCCTTACCACTCTATTACTCTCCCAGTTCTCCTTGGCTCCTTCTCTCTGCCTTCCCCAAACCTGTCTCCTCCAAAAGCACACGATCATTCGGCGTACAGTTAATAAATACCGATCGCACGGCTGGCAGCTGACCCCCTGATCTTTGTCCCAACTGTTTCCCCAGCCCAGGGCACAGTCCCTTCCACCCCCAGAGCCAAGGGGTCTGGCTGCCTCATTTCAAGAGCTGCTGGTGACTCCTACGCCCTCTCTCAAGGAGAAGCTGTCAGCATTGTCCTCCAGCACCTAACAGGGGCCGGGCGTTGAGCTAGGGCAGAACCTACTGGGATGAGAAGAGATCGCTGCCTGCCAAGGGGCTCAGGATCTGGCAAGAGTTCCAATGCTGGAGGGGTGCTGAGTACACAATGGGGGCAGAGAAGAGAAGACAAGGCACCAGGATAGGCCTGGAAAGTTCCAGGGGGGCTCCTGCGGAGTGATACGTGAGCTTCAGCTTGGGAAAGTGGTCCTCAATTCCCCACTTGCACAGTACAATCTACAAAGATTTAATGTAATTTCAAATGCTGTTTTGATTTTTTAAAACACATAGCCACATTTCCTAAACCTGCCGCCATAAGTGAGTGTACATGGAGTGTATTTGTGAACCCAGAGCAGGTAGTTAAGAGTTGAAGCGATCTTTATAAGCAGGTGAGCGTATCTAAAATGCTAGTGAATAATATTTTTCCTGTTGCCATCATGTCAATTCTGACTCCTAGTGACCCTATAGGACAGAGTAGAACTGCCCCATAGGGTTTCCAAGGCTGTAATCTTTGTGGGAGCAGACTGCCACATGAAGTGGCTGGTAGGTTTGGCACATTTTTGTTAGCAGCTGAACACTTAATAATATAGTGCTTAATATAGAGTCATGGTCAAATCTAACTTAGATTTACACCAAAACCCTCTGCAGTAAGAATGATCCTCCACACAACTGTTGTTTTGAAAAGTTGTAGGCTTCTGTTACAGTCAGCAATTTTTCTTTCTTTCCTTTTTCTTCTATTTTTTTTTTTTTTTAACTACTTCTTTGGTAAGTTTCACCAGCCTCCTCATAGAGAACTCAAAGTACCACAGATTGTCACAGGGTTATGTTAGCGATTTCATGTTAGCTTAGATATAGGGAATAAACTCATCCCCCAAAAGCTAATGCCGTTGATGGAGAATGGGCTACAGCATTCTTCTAACTAATCACAAATGAAAGAGGTTTTGTAGGTATAGTGATGGACAAGATCAGCATGCCTGGTGGGTATAAAAAGCTATTGAGGTAGACGATCTCCTTGCTTTCTGCTCATGTACAAAAGAGCATTTCATAGCCTGCTTGGTGGCAAAACCAGACACTCTCTCTTGTTATCAGCTACAAACATTCTCTTGAGAATTCTCTCTGGTTCCTATTCAGAAGTACACTATTGGTAAAGCCGACAGCTTTCATATTCAAGACTGACTTAATAAGAGTGTTGGAACATCAGTGAGAGAGACAGGAGGGAGCCCAGGGCCTCATCTTCCCACAGTGGACCAAGGGTGAAACTACTGAGCTTGTAGTCCCTAAGCGTCAGTGACAATTCCATCCCCACATGGGTTAGTTAGCTTTATACACATGGCACGACATAAAGATGTATGGTCAGTTACAAATACCAGGTGATCTATAAAACCCTTCTATGTTATATGAAAAGTAACTCACCAATACATGTGCTCTCGACAGTTCCGGCTCCCTGATCTAAGGAAGCACATGTCCTCACTCAAACCCCTGGCGGGAAATTGTGTTGAGTCACCAGACGGGCACATTTATGGTTTTGTCAGATGCTGATAATGCTATTGACTTCAAAACCTTGCTCATGGCAACCTGACTATGGCTGAAATTGTCCCCATTTTCAAAGAATAGAAATACATGGTACCAGTTGCCGTCGACTCAGCTGTGACTCATGGTGACCCCATGAGTGTCATAGTTCTATTACGCCCATGGGGTTTTCTTAAAAGTTGTTTAACCCATTTGCTGAGCCAGTTCATGTATTTCCCTTATAGCAAGGTTCAGTAACTATTCAGTGCTCGTATCTCTACATGAAAATGTATCCAATATCCAAAAACAGATATTCTGTGCCCTGTGCATTTTCTCCTCTCCAGGCTCAACATCCCTGCCCCTTTGATCACTCCTCAGATGACATGTTCATGAAATCCCCTCAATTTCCTCTTCCTAAGTTCCAGTTTATCAGGTTCCCCACAGGTGAGAAGGAGCCCTGGTGGCTCCTTAACAATGGTTAAACACTTAGCTGCTAACTGAAAGATTAGTGGTTCAAACCTACCCAGTGGCTCTGTGGGAGAAAGACCTGGCCATGTGCTCCAGTAAAGATTACAGCTTACAAAACCCAGTGGGGTGGGTCTATTCTGTCTCATGGGGTCGCTGTGAGTCAGAGTCGATGGCACCCAACGACAACCACAGGTGAGATACTCAGGACGGAAAATGCAACAGAACTGTATTTTCCTCCTCCTTGAGATTTTTCCCCCATTAGGGCAGAGAGAATAGCATGTGGGAAGGCCCAGAGGTGAGAGAGGGGAGGACAGGACTTCAGATGGGGGGAGCACCCTGGGTAGAGGAAGAGCAGATGGAAGCCTCCTCTACAGATCCTGAAGATGAGGACAGTGCCTACCACACACTGGAGCAGCACCCACCCACCTGATGGTGATTCTTAGGGGCCACTGGCCAGGAACTTCCCCGTTGCTCTTTCTGCCCCACATGCTTCTTCAGCCCATTCCTGAGCCCTGGTCCCTCCCCGAGGCTGGTGCCGCTGCTGTGTTTATAAGATCTTATTTTAATTAATATGTGTTTCTAGCTTCTTTTCGACGCTGGGTGTCTCCTAGCTCAGAGCTATATCTCATCGCTCTGGGCTCCTAAACTCCCCAGGGGCTGTGAAACGGATACTATACTTCTGTTTCTGCAGCTTAAGATCAAAGGAACCTGTTCTGTTGGCCCCACATGCCTTCAGAGTTTATTATTGGTTAAAAGCCCCAAGGCTTTTTCACAAGCGCTGTTGTCTGGTGGTATTTGTAGCTTTTGAGAACTAAAACTGTAGACTCTTATAACCCAAAGTCCCATGACTCACAGTGACCCTATAGACTCTTAGACCCAATCCCATTAAACTTCTCTCTCTCTCTCACTTTTTTTTGGTTTAGTCCATCTTTCTGGCCATTTGAAATCATTTTGTCTCTGATTCTGCCATCCAGTGCAATTTTTATAGCTCCTGCTTACACGTTCCATAAGATGCTACATGTGCCTTCTGTATCATCATCAACATCATGGACTAGGACAGCGCTGAATGAATGAATGAATGAA